ACAACTTAAAGTTAAGTCTAAGAAGTACGGACGTCTCTCTGAGGATTTAATTTGAGGTAAATGACTGGATATTTTTGCATTTTAAGATAGTAAATAAATTAATTATCTGATTGTTATTTGATTCAAATGTGTTTAGAAAGAATGTTTGAAGAAGCAAAGAAAATTTTGCCTTGTTGGGAGTTACAAATTGCTCTTGAAAAAACACAAAAGAGGAGATTCTGGTAATTATTTAGGCTATAAAATAGGTTGACAAAAAATTAGATCCCAAAAGTTGAAAATTAGGAGAGATTGATTGCAGACTCTTAATGACTTTCAGAGGTTGCTAGGGGATATTTCCCATCTATGACATATTGGGATAAAACCTGATCAACTGATTCATTTAAACAAAACCGTAGATGGAGACAAGGACTTAAATAGTCCCAGGGAATTAACAGCTGAAGCTGAGAAAGAATTGGCATTGGTGGAAGACAAATTACAGATTTCACATGTGGATCATATGGGTCCAAAGCTTAAGTGTAGTCTGGTCATATTACCCTCTAAGCATTGCCCTACAAGAATTTTAATGCAGAGGGAAGATACTATCTAAGAATGGATCTTTTTATCACATAAACCAAGTAAGAAATTAAAAACTTGTGGGGAAAAGATCTCTTGAGTTGATTCTAAAAGGAAAATTGAGGCTTCGTCAATTAGCAGGAATAGATACAGCAGAAATTATAGTACCTTTACTAATGATGAAATTGTCAAATTACGGGCAGAAAGTGAACCCTGGCAAAGAGCTTGTAGTAATTTTTTGGGAGAGTTTGACAAAAATTATCCCAAAAGCAAGAGAATTAAACTTATAAAGAGAACTAGGGGCTCCTCAAATTATAAGGGAAACATCAATAACTAGAGCCCCTGCATTCTATACTGATAAAGGCAGGATACAAATCAGAAAATTTAAGTAAAGTGGATCTAAGTCCTTATAATTCTGTCCAAAAGTCAGAATTGTATGCTATTCTCATGGTGTTAATGGATCATAAAGAACCTCTCAACATAGGTACTGATTCACAATATGCAGAAAGAGTAGTTTGAAACCACTGAATTTATACCAGATGATACAGAATTGACTTTATTATTTACTCAGTTACAATACATAACCAGGAACAGAAATCATCCCATATATATAACACACATCTGATCCCATACAGGTCTGCCAGGCTCTTTAGCACAAGGTAATGATGAGATCAACTATTGATAAGAAATGTGATAAAGGCATCAGAATTTCATAAAAACCACCATGTCAACATCAAAGGTTTGAAAAAAGACTTTTCTATCACTTGGCAACAAGCCAAAGAAATTATAAGGAAATGTTCTACTTGTTCTTTATCCAACCAAACTCTACTACCTGTAGGAAGTAACCCAAAGGGCACTTAAAGGAATAAAATCTGACAGATGGATGTGTTTCATTTTGTAGAATTTGGAAAGTTAAAATATGTACACCATACCATTGACACCTATTCAGGTTTTATTTTATTTATTTATTTATCTATTTTAAATTAATTTTTATTTAAATTAAAAACAGCCTTATTTTATATACCAATCCCAGTTCTCTCTCCCTCCCATCCCCCCACTCCCCCCACTATCTCCCATTCCATCCCCCATCCACTCCCTAGGGAGGGTGAGGTCTCCCATGAGGGATCATCAAAATCTGTCACATCATTTGGGGCAGGACCTAGGCCCTCCCCCATATATCTGGACTGAGAGAGTATCACTCCATAGGGAATGGGCTCCCAAAGCCCATTCATGCACTAGTGACAAATACTAGTTCCACTGCAAGCTGCCCCTTAAGACTGCCCAAGCGCCCCAACAGACACCCACGTTCAGGGGGCCTAGTTCAGTCAATAAGCCATGAGGTAGCATGGCTTAAACAAAAGTGGGTTAAATTAAGTTATAAGAGCCAGTGAGAAACAAGACTAAGCTAAGGCTGAGCTTTCATAATTAATAAGAAGCCTCCAGGTTATTTGGGAGCTGGCTGGTGGGACAGAGAAAGACTCCTTACAGGAAAGTTATTATAATTCTGGGTAAGGGCTCCAAATATTGCTGAATATCTCCTTAGGAAAAAAATGTTAAAACAAAAGGTAAATTTTATTTGTTGCTGTTATGTTTCATGCTATTTAATATTTTAAATCAAAGGGGATGGCTAAATGTAATCAATACACACACACACACACACACACACACACACACACACACACACCCTTTAGATGGTTCTTATTTACAAAATCATTTCCCCATTCAAGGTCAGAATATTCAAAACTCTTACTGAAATGTAAACTTTCTTTCAAAATCATTGTCATACTTGGGTTTTTATTGCTGTGAAGAGACACCATAACCATGGCAACTCATAACATTTAATTAAAGCTGACTTACAGTTTCAGAGGTTTAGTCCATTATAATCATGGCAGGAAGCATGGTGGCACGCAGGCAGACCTGGTGCTGGAGAGTTAGCTGAGATCTCTAAATCTTGATCTGCAGGAAGCAGGAAGAGAATTAGATAACTTGAACTTCTGAGATTTGAAAGCCCACCCCCAATGACACACTTACTCCAACAAAGCCACACCTGCAACAAGGCCACAACTCCCCTATTCTGTCATTCCCATGAGCCTATGGGCCTGTTTATATTCAAATTCCACAATCTGTAAGATCATTTCATGCATGCAAGGGTGTGGACATAACATTCCCAGGAAAAGTGCTAGGGTAAAACCTATAGCAAAAAGTCTATACAAATCTATATATTGCCAAACTTAATTTGCTACTGGATGCTTATATGTATCTTGAAATTAGCTCTTGTTATTTCAACCAACCCATGACTTGAGGCCTCTTGCCATAAGATGGAGCCTATGCCTGACACTGCCAAATGGCCAGGAACCAGAGGCTGGACAGACAACCCAGAGACCTAGGATAGATTCAAACACTACTGGCAAAAAATGAAATGAAATGATCCCTAATGATAGCCTCATAGATCAGTGCCCAATTGTTATCAGAAGGGAATCATCCAAAAACTGATAGAGCAAATGCAAAGACTCACAGCCACACACCAGGCAGAGCCAGAATCGCCCCACACAAAAGGGGAAGGAAATACGGTAATAGCCCGAGGCTTCTAGGACCCCTCAAGAACATGATCCATAGAATCAAGTTAAGTAGGGCTCGTAGGGGATCACAGAGACTGAAGTGACCATCACAGACCCTGTATGTGTCTGAGCTAGGTCCTCTGCATATATTTTGTAATTGCGTATCTTGATGTTCTTGTGGGCATCCTAACAACTGTCTCTCTTTTGTCTGGGTTTGGGACCCTTTTACTCCTACTGGGTTGTCTTTTCCAGCCTTGATATGAGGTTTTGTGCCCAGTCTTATTGTATTTTGTTAGGCCATGTTCAGTGGATATCTTCGGGATGTCTGTCCTTGTTTTTTGAAGGGAAACAGAGGAGTTCATAAGGGGAGAGGGTAGGTGTGTGTGTGGGGGGGACTGCATTCAGATTGTAATGTATGAGAGAAGAATTACAGTTAAAAAAAAGGACCAAGGAGGCAACAACAGGTCTTCCAGATTATTTTAGTCAGTGTTGTACTGCTGTGAAGACACCATGACTATGGCAACTCATGATGAAAGAAAGCATTTAACTTGGGCTTGCTAACAGTTTCAGTGGTTTAGCCATGATCCTTATGGCGAGGAGCATGGCTGCATTCATGCAGACATGGTAGCTGAGAGTTCATAATTCAGAACCACAGACAGCAGAAAGAAAGTACTACTAGACTTGGCTTGGGCTTCTGAAACCCAAAGTGTACTCCCAGAGACACTTCCTCCAACGAGGCCACATCCACTCCAGCAGGTTCCTAGTCCTTTCAAATAGCGCCACTCTCCAAACATTCAAATATTTTCAGTTATGGGGGCCATGCTTATTCATACTACAAAAAGATATTTTGAATTAGGATGGATTTTTATATGATGATTTTTTTGTAAAATATGAAAACTGTATATAAAAATAATTTGTGTTCAATAAATAAAATAGACTTGCTAAATAAGCTTTATAAATTCCTAAGGTTATGTGTAGCTCTTGGTCTTTGCTAACTTTGTTAATCATTAGTTACTTGGGTAAACTGAGTCATATTAGAAATTATAATATTCTGTAATGGTACACTATAAAAAAATCAGGAATATAACACTCCCAGTCTCTCTGTCAGCTATATTTATGGTTTTATAATGTTCCCTGTCCCTCTGTGGACTGCATTTATGGTTTCAAGTTTAGTTTTACTCCCTATGGATTTTCAATTAGTTCTTTAATGCAGTTTTTAATGCTGTACTTTAACATTGATGAAACTGTAAATTCCTAATCCTGTAAAAGCTACTAACTTGTTGAAAACTATTAAAGATAATTATGCCGTCCAAGTTCATGGCCAGTTACCTTAAATGATCAAAATTTTTAATGTGCTCAAAAAGTTTAATAATGTTAAGTACAAAATCCATTCTTAGGTAAGATTTATTGATACATCTGAATACATTTTAAGGATAAGCCTAAAGCAAGTAACTAAAAACCAAGTAAAGTTTATTTGAAGTTAGTTATACTCAACAACTCAAATGTTAGCCCTCAAATTCCTCAAAGATCTGCTGAATATGGCATTTATAATGTTCAGTAAAAAGGCTTCTCGGGATACACAAAACAATCAGATCCTACAGGTAGCCCTAAGGCCTCACCCAAAGAAGACCACAGGGCATAAGCAACTCAAACTGACTGCCCCTCTTTGCCTTGCAAAGGCAGACAAGCCTCTCAAGTTTCTCATCTACACGAAAGTCTTTCAGATTTTCTGGGTCTGGCAGATGAATGCTAATTCTGCCATGTGTAGCAGCAGAAGATTTAATGCTGTCCTGCGTGACTGCTAAAGACTGACCACTGCCCTCAAGACTTTATAAAGGCACCTAGTGTATCCAGGTGATGTGTAAGTTTCTGTCATTTTAATTGATACAGAGGCCATTTGGATTCCAATTCCTGCTCAAATTTATTCTTTTCCGATATCTGATGATCTTGGTGGCTATCTGTAACTTTACTGGTTTAACAACAGGGAGCACCCAGCTGCTGGAGGAGGCTCGTCCTGATTGCTCTGAGATCACCAGTACCGCTGACCTCATTTCAGAGGGTGGAGTCCGCATTCCGCTGACAGGAGTGGTCAAGTTTTCCGGCAGATTTAGAGGAGACCGAAAGGCAAACCGGGAAGGAAGATGCAGGGTTGAGGGGTTGCAGTCTTGGATTAAGGAAGTGGAGAGGGAGGATCATGTCTTGGTCGCTCGACAGATTTCTCAGGTTTATTCTTTAGTATTTATCCCCAAATTTTACTTTTCAATAAATGATAAAAAAAAAATCCCAACATCTGGCATCCACCATGGAGCACAATCATGTGGCAGAAAGCTGCCGCTTCCCTGCTTGGCTCCATGCCACCGCAGCTCACTGGCTTTTCATGCCAAGGGCTCTGCAGCCACAGAGTCAGCGAGCGCCAGGTTCCCTCCCAAGTGAGTCTCTTGTGTTTGTTTCCCCATTTCACTTGTTTTGCAGGCCTCTCCCTCCCCTCCCTCTCCCCTTCCCTGCATAGATGGTACAAGTATCTTGACAGACTAGAGCAAGGCACTCCTCTCCTCACAGGCCAGTTCTGTGTGGTGCACATAAGCACCAGGGAAGAATCTAGTTCTGGCCGCAGCCACCGCCACCACCACCACCAGTGGCTGCTTCTACTTTTGCCTGGCTTGGAGCTCATTTTCCCTGGCTGGTCCCTGTGTTCCCAGGTGCTGAGCCAAAGCAGTTGGACATTCTGCCACCGGATTGTCTCCCTTAGTAATAGCTACCCTCCTATCTTGGTGCTGCACCTGTCCCCCCTCCTGGCACAGATGAACCCTGTCATTGCAGTTAATTTCCCGTGCACAGCTCTGCCTATGCCATCAGTGTCATCAGAGACACTAAGACACTTGGGGACTTTTAAATGGGAAATTAGGCTTAAGGAATATAATTAAATAAAAAAGGGGAGGACAATTTTTCCCATGTTAAGAATTGAAAATATCATAATGCAAAAAGTTGGGACCCTGTTTACTGCTACTATGGATTGAATGAAAATGAAAAAAAATAAATGAGGGGATAAACAACTTAGCTGGGATCAACATAATGCCAATTGTCATGGTCAGTTTGGAAATTCATATTTTACCCTTAAAAATAGTTTTATAACTGTGCCAAATATGATAATCTGACTGATAAGATACAAAACTTAGAAAAACTTATTATTACTACTTATAAGACACAAGCCTTAGGAAGACTTACTAATGAAAATAATAAAAATTTGACTGATATGATACGAGTCTTAGAAAGCTTTACTAATGAAAATAAGAAAAATATTCAGACAGAGGAATTTAGAACAGAACCTCCCACATCATTGCATTATGAAATTGAAGAGGAGTGGCCCAAGGTTATTAGAAAACTAACCTTGATTTATCCATTTATCATATAAGAATAACCACCAGGCAACCCTAAGGCTATGGAATTCCAGGAGCTTACTGGAATCCTGTCAAAATGTTAGGTTTCAGGAAATGTATGCAATTACCTTTGTGAGTTAGATGTTAAGTCCATGGGCCACAGGAGCAGAAATATTCCACAGGACTGGAAGATTTAGCTACAGCAATATTGGAAGCTGGCCCTCAGTTCCAATGGAAAACATTATGGAGAGAGAAAGCTAGGGTCATGCAACAGCAAATAGGGTTAGAGGAATTGAAATTCCCCAAGAAGAGATTCTTGGAGAAGGCCAGTATGCTGATTTGCAAAGACAGATTACATTTGATGATCATACCTTGGCTCTATGACATATAGCAGCTTTGAATGTTTGGGATAGAGTTGAAGAAGCAGGAAAGAGGACTGAGAAATTTATTAAAATTATACAAGGCCTTATAAAAGAAGCCTTCACTAATTTTTGACTTTAGTTGTAAGTAGATTGATGTCAGATCCAAAAGCTAGACAAATAGCAGTTAATTTTTTGGCTTTTGAAAATGCTAACAGAATGCAAAAGGATGAATAGGCCTTTAAAGGCAAGATCACACTCATAGACAAATGGATTAGAAATACAACTGATATTGGATCTCACATTTATGATGATACTTGGATAGGATAAGTAAGTTCTAAAAATTTTAAGAAAAATCAAAAGCTTAGATGTTTTAATTGTGGTAAACTAGATCATCTGAAAAGGGATTGTAGGCAAGGCATTCCTAGAAACGATATTTTTCTAGAGATAATCCAGTCAGAATGCCACAGCATTCTGGAATAAAATGATATTTTTCTAGAGATAATCCAGTCAGAATGCCACAGCATTCTGGAATAATCAGAAGGTATGGCAAAGGCTGGCTTTTGACTAATGAATGCAGATCAACATGGAGCGGGTAAGGTAACCCTTTGTGATTGGAAAACACCATAGGGGGCTTCTCAGGACCCCCCTGTCAAATTTGTTTCAATCATTCTCTGTCAGCATTGGGGAAACACCTCCGCACTGCTCTGGATGAAAACATCTTCATTAGATCAAACAAAAAAAATTCAGGAGAGAGCATAAAACAAATACTTTGGCAAACTTCTATAAGTGTTCAGGAATCAAAGCTAAAAATACAAATAAATGGCATTGTAATTGAAGTTTTACTAGACACAAGCATGGGTATAACAATAACTTCACTAGAATCTTGGCATCCAGATTGGCCTTTTCAGGAGGCAAATATTCAACTTCTAGGGATTGGAATTTTATCTCAGGTTAAACAAAGGGACTAGTCTAGAGGTCTGGAAATCTCTTAAAATAACTTCTTGGAGAGGCAGATTATGCTGATGTACAAAGGCAATCTCTGTATGATATCAATGTCCTGGATTTATGCTGCACAGCAGTTTTGGATGCTTTGGGAAGACTTGGAGAGGTAGAAAAGAAAATTGAATCATTTACTAAAGCTATACAGGGCCCAAAGGAAGCCTTCATGGATTTCTTACAAAGACTGTCTTAAGCAGTAAATAGAATGATACAAATTCAGTAGCTAGACACAATACTTGAATCTCTGGCTTTTGAAAATGCTAATTATCAATTCAAAGGAATAATTAGGCCATTAAAGCAAGGTCAGTACCCTTAGAGGAATGGATCTGATATACAATCAATATTGAATTTCATGACCATGATGATACATGGATAGAAGAGGTGATTTACAGAGGTTTGAAGAAAAAATTAAATGTCAAATGTTTTAATTGTAGCAAATAAGGTCAATATAGAGGGGAATGCAAACAGAATATTCCTAGAAACAATGTTTTTTGTAAGTACAATTCAAACAGAATTTTCCTATCTTCTGGATTATGCAGAAGGTGTGGCAAAGGCAGGCCTTGGACTAATGAATGCAAGTCAACAAGGGGCATTCAAGAGAACCCTTTGCTATCAGGAAACTCCTTGAGGGGACTGTGCCCCTATGCCAAATTCAGTTCAGTTCTTTCCTGTCATGGAAACTCTTTCCCAGAGCAATTAAAGATCCTAGAAACCTATTGTAATAAACCATATTGCTCTGGATGATAGAAGAGCTATAGAAGAGAGAGCAAAAATTCAGAAAAAAACCATAAAGTTAGTATTTTGGCAAACTTCTATAAATGAGCAAGAACAAAATTAAAAGTACAAATAAATGACATTGTCATTGATAGTTTGGTAGACACAGGTGTGAATGTAACAATAATTTCACCAGAAATTTGGCATCCAAATTGGTCTCTTCAGGAGGTAAATGTTCAGCTTTTGTGGATTGGAATTTTATCTAAGGTAAAATAGAGAATGAGATAGGTCAAATGTATAGGACCAGAAGGACAGAGAGTAAAAGTCAAACCATGTGTTGCTAACATACCAATGAATCTGTGGGTATGTTATAGTGGTATATTATTTATGATCTAATAAAGCCATTGGAGATCAGTTTGCAAAGCCAGCCACACTAGTTAGCTATAGAAACAATGCAATGGTGGCACAACCTTTATTCCCAGGACTCAGGATTAAGAGGTAGATGGATCTCTGTTAGTTCAATGTCACCAAATGCTGCACAAGACTGAATTGAATCAGTCTAAAAGAGTAACAGAGCTCACACCTTTAATCCTAGGACTCATGAGAGGTATTTAAGACAAAAACAGGCTCTCAGAACTGGCATTCATTCGCCAGCCACACTGAAGATAGGAAGGCATAGAGTCTAGCCACATCGAGGAGAGCATAACAACCAGAGTGAATATGAGTTGGGAGCAGTTTGAGGAGTGCCACTTTGGTCTGAGCTGAGGCATAGGTAAGAGCTAGTGGCTGGCTGCTTTGCTTTTCTGATCTTCAGCTTGAAGCTTGAACCCAAATGTCTGTCTCTGGGCCATTTACAGGACATGATTTGTTACAGCAATGAAATACCCAGATTAACATTCATCCCCAATCTTAGAAAAAGAACATAAATTAACGTATGTTTCTGAGAAAAATATTAGAAGGTATTTTAAAGAACAGACCATTCAGATTGAACAAGAACAGGGACCAACAGCTGTTCATCTTTGAAAGGCACCAACGTTTAAAGTGATTGACAGATAAACCTGTATAGGTTGCGCAATGGCCTTTAATAATAGAGCAACTGCAGGCTTTAGAACAGCTGGTACAGGAGCAACTAAATGCTCAGCATGTTGAAGAATTAACCAGCCCTGGAATTCTTCTGTATTTGTTGTTAAACAGAAATTTGGAAAATGGAGAATGGTAACAGATCTAAGAACTGTTAATAAGGTGGTTCCGCCAATGAGCTCTCTATAGTGTAGTACAACTAATGAAAACCTAGAGAAAGATATTGGGGTTAAAGTTGAAGATCAGAGAAGCAAAGCAGCCAGGCACTAGTTCTTACTCTACCAAGGATGAAATAGAGATCCTGTCTTCCCTGTGACTGAAAACTGCATCTCACATGAGACCCTTTGCTTCTTCCTTATGTACCTTTCTAGTACTGGGATTAAAGGCATGAGCTCTGTTTCTCTTTTAGACTGATTCACTTTTTTAAAAAATACTTTATTTATTATGTATACAACATTCTGCTTCCATGTATATCTGCACACCAGAAGAGGGTACCAGATCTCATAATGGATGGTTGTGAGCCACCATGTGGGTGCTGGGAATTAAACTCAGGACTTCTGGAAGAGCAGTCAGTGCTCTTAAGCTCTGAGCC